TTGGCTTCCTCCGTCACTGAAGCAAGCAAGTCTCCTGTTCGCTTCAAGCTGCCTGGCTGCCGGCCGCCATCTTGGCTGGCAGTTAATTTGCATATCACCCTGATTAGCCAATGGGAAGGGTAGCGGAGGTACGGCTAATTACCATGTTTCTCTTTTATTAGATAGGATGTGGAAAGAAGAGTTAAAAAAAATAAAACTGCTATAGAAAGTTTCCTCATTTGACAACCAAATCAATTACCTCAAGTAATGCTGTGTGATCACGCCTTAATTATTTGCTGAACATTGTTTATGAGGGTTGACTCTTGGATTTAATTATGTAGACTATACTTGTAGACATGTAGTATTTATTTATTTTGGCGAAATTACTACATTGTTTTTCCCAACATATGGCCTATCTGCTAAATTTGTTAAAAAAATAACAGCGAATTAATAACAAAACAATAACCTGTTAATTTCTTATAAGTAAATCCTGGTTAAAAGCATTTTAAGCCCTGGCCAGTTTTGCTCTGTGGTTAGAGCATCAGCCCTTGGATTAAAGGGTCCTGTGTTCCATTCCAGGTTAAAGGCTTAACCTCAGGTGCAGGCTCGATCCCTGGCCCCAGTTGGGGGCGTGTGCAGGAGGCAACCAACTGATGTGTCTCTCTCACATCGATGCTTCTCTCTCTCTCTCTTTCCCCTCCCCTTCCACTCTCTCTAAAAATCAATGGAAAAAAATATCCTAAGGTGAGGATTAACAAAATAAATAGATAAATAGATTTTTTAAATTTAACAGGTGTTAATTTTCACGTATGACATATGGTCCGGGAATTTTGTCCAATAAATCCAAAGTCTGTTAAATCGAGGTATACAAAATCAGGGTTTACTGTATCCTTTAGGTCCATCCATGCTGTAGCAAAAGGTTAAGATTTCCTTCTTTTTTACAACTGAGTAGTATTCCATTGTGTAAATATATCACAGCTTTTTCATCCACTCATCTACTGATGAGCACCTCAGCTGCTTCCAAATCTTGGCTATTTAAATAATGCTGCAATGGACATAGGGGTACATATATCCTTTCGAATTAGTGCTTCAGGTTTCTTCCGTTACATTCCCAGAAGTGGAATTGCTAGGTCATAAGGCAATTCTAATTTTAATTTTTTGAGGATCCTCCATACTGTTTTCCATAGCGGTTGTACCAATGAATTCAGTTTTCCCGTTTTTCCATAGGCCACAAAACTTTAACTCACATTTGGGGGTTGGGACAATATAGAAGTTAATTATTTTATTTATGAAAGTAGGAAAAAATGTTAAAATGAACTTACTTGCTGAGTTTGTCTAAATTCTTCCAATAGTTTTAGTGCCATGTCGTAATCTTTCAGCAAATGGTATGCAATAGCATACCCAATCCAGGAAGCACGCTGTGTTGGGCGCAACTGAAGAAGCTGATACCTTGTCTCCTTTAAAAAAATAAATAAATACATACATAAATCAATAAATTTTTTTTTAGCTTTTTAAACTTTCTGTAAAGTATTTCTGTTCATCACAGTTTTCAGGAAACAATTCAATACCTTTAATTCTTTTTTAATGTATTCAATTAACAAATATATGTTCCACAATAAAATATTTTCTGTGTGCCTTATCTAAATTATTTAACTTGTAAAATACCCCATATAATGCTCATTGTAAGACTGTCACTGAAAAGTCGGCCCTGAGGCTCATGCTTTTGGGCCGACTTATAAAATTACCTTTATATAATAATTTCTTTTGGTAATTACATATCTTAAAAGAGAGACTGAGATAGTTTTTTACTGAACTAAATTTTGCTGTTTACAAAATTAGTATATGAAATTACAATGGATTTACATTGGTATAGTAGGCTCCAGAGACAGGATGGAATTCTCAAACATCTTTTCAAGCAGAAACACCACTGCTGCCACTCTAAGAGAAGGTCAGTATCTATTACATTAGGAAGAAAACACCAGAAATTCCACTATGGCTATCCCAGAAGAATCAAGATATCATCATTAACAGAAAATACAACCTCCTTACACAGACCTCATTTCTTCATTGCTTATATCTGTCTCCAAGTTTTACAAAAGTGCATCTGCTTGGAGGAACAGGTCTCATGAAAAACTCTAGGTGCAATGGAATTTTGAAAATGTAGTGTTTAGCTTCCCTTACTCTGTTGTTAGAACTGGTAAAAGGAATGCCAAAAGGGCCCTAACTGGTTTGACTCAGAGGATAGAGCGTTGGCCTGTAGACTGAAGGGTCCCAGGTTCAATTCCAGTCAAGGGCATGTACCTTGGTTGCGGGCACATCCCCAGTAGGGGGTGTGCAGGAGGCAGCTGATCGATGTTTCTAACTCTCTACCCCTGTCCCTCTCCCTTCCTCTCTGTAAAAAAATCAATAAAATAT